AGGCGGGTGAAGGGTTAATGCTACGAGGGCTTTCATGCTGTGTCAGCAGTTCACTGCACTAACCCCCTCAGTAAAAACACACGAGCACCAGAGCACTTAAACAAACACAGGTTTGCCGTTTCGCAGCTCATTTCAGATACACATCATCACAGATGCAGTGCAGATGTGTTTGCACGTGCAGTGTCTTAACTCTTAATGAATAACCGTTGTGTGTCACATGTGCTAGACAAATACGCTTGCCTTCAGTGTTTTCGTATTTTTATGCTAGTGCAATTGTTAGATTGTCAGATGGACTAAGAACTTTTATTCATTAGACAGATTCTCAAAAGCTGCTCAGGTCCTGCCGTGTGACGGTGTGTGATGTTGTGTGTGAACATGTTGTGGGACAGCAGTGTATTAATGAATGTGTGCAGCTGCTGTCTAGCGTCTGGACTCATTCCCTGCAGACGCATGATGCTGCCTGAATGTGTGAGATGAGATTGTCTTCCTCCCCACTGAAGACAGAATTAACTTTGTCCATTTATTTGACTTAGATCACCATGCTTTGCGTTGTGTTGAGCTCAAACATTTTTGAGTGTGAACATTTTTGTTAGGGAGAAATATGTGGCCTGTAGCATGAATCTATCTGAACAAACTCTGGGTTTCACCTTAGGTTTAGACTTTACAAAACCAACAAAATCCAACCCAACTTAGATCAGGTTCAGCAGGCTCCCTGTAATTTCAGCTCAAGGCTTGGATCAGAACTAACTATGATCTGTGCTTCAACATTTAAACTTCTAATAGATTTACCTGTTTTTAGACAATAAAACATACTTAATAGTGCTCGTGTGCACTTTTTTTGCACTCCAATATATATTTTATTATTACACGTAAAATTAAGTCAGTAAATTCAGTCCGATTGGATTGTTTTCCCCCGTTGGCACACTAACAGATGTAGTATATATTACTGAAGGCTATATCAATCTTTAGCAGATAAACTAATTCAATTAGGATGTGTTTAGCTGTGTCTATAAGACAGGTTTAATCTCACAGTACTAAGAAGTGAACAAGATCAACTGGCTCCTCTCATCATTATGGCCAGAAACAGTCTAGTTGTGTGTGAGAGATATATATACGCCTGTCACAACCTACCGTCATTTACTGAGAGATTGATAGAGAAGCTCCTGACCCGCACAGCACACCCTTACCAAAAAGAAGTGTGCTTCAAGTTTATTTTATTAAGTATACTTAAGTAAAGTTCAAGTATATTTTTAAGTATACTTTATGTAGTAAATATTCAAATATCAGTGTACTAGTAGTATACTTGTAAGTACACTATTTCAATGCTCCTTGGGACTAAATTGGCCCAATTTCTAGTATATAAAAGTATAACAGTAGTAAACTTTGAGTACACAACTAGTTTACATTTAGTTTGTACTGCAACTATACTAAAAGTTAACTTATAGGTATACTGATAGTTTACTAATTAAATACTTGTAGCATTTTTAGTACATTTTAACTTTTAGTTTAGTAGTTTTATACCGCAAGTATACTCGAAAGTAGTATACTTCAAGTTTATTTTATTAAGTATACTTAAGTAAAGTTCAAGTATATTTTTAAGTATACTTTATGTAGTAAATATTCAAATATCAGTGTACTAGTAGTATACTTGTAAGTACACTATTTCAATGCTCCTTGGGACTAAATTGGCCCAATTTCTAGTATATAAAAGTATAACAGTAGTAAACTTTGAGTACACAACTAGTTTACATTTAGTTTGTACTGCAACTATACTAAAAGTTAACTTATAGGTATACTGATAGTTTACTAATTAAATACTTGTAGCATTTTTAGTACACTTTAACTTTTAGTTTAGTAGTTTTATACCGCAAGTATACTCGTAAGTTTTCTTTAAGTGAACTTTACATCATACTTTAAGTATACTACTATGTCCCTATTTAGGTATTAATTTGTATATATTTTGTTAGATGAATATCTGAACATACAAAACATCAAAAGAAAGAACAGGGTATCTGCTTGTAAACAAAAACATTTTATTTTGCATGCATTCGTTTTTTAAACACTTGAATGTGGGCAAGTTTAATAAATTAAAAACTAAAGAAATAAATGAACAACATTTTGAACAAAAAGCTGAAAAAAGACTATGAATTGTATTCAGAATGTTAATCAAAAAGTAGACGGAGTCAATCAACACCCCACAGCTTGACAGTCATTTATTCCATAACGTTACACAGTTTTGATGCTGTTTTATTTCTGATGATCGTGTTAGATTATGTGTAGAAGCATATGTTGTTTCCGTTTCTTCTTCACTTGTGTTTTGGAAATTCTGTACAGAAGGTGTGTACTAGCGCCCCCTACTGTATAACAATGAAAACATGGATTCTCGGAGCACAAGTATAGCTCAAATATATTTAGACTTTTTCTAAGTATAGATCATGTATACTTAAATGTCATTTTAAGTGTACTTTCCTATTTTTTAGTTTAAAATAAGTTTACTAATAGCACACTTGAATAAACTTCTTTTTCGTAAGGGCACACACACTCCCACAGCACAGAAGATAGATTTCACATTCAGTCCTGCTTCAGAAAGAGGGAAGAGTAGAGGTTTTCTCAGCTTTAGAAACAGACAGGTGAAACACTAAGTTACTTTGATGAGCAGGAAAACAGCCTGTTCAGTAACAACCATTTAAGCAAAGAATCCTTTAATTTCTTTAAAATCATTTCATATTTCAAATATTCAGAATGTTATTTTTTAAAGGGGTCATATGATGCGATTTCAATTGTTCCTTTCTCTTTGGAGTGTTACAAGCTCTTGGTGCATAAAGAAGATCTGTAAAGTTGCAAAGACTAAAGTCTCAAATCCAAAGAGATATTCTTTATAAAAGTTAAGACTCATCCACACCTACCTAAAACGTCTCGTTCTAACACGCCCCCACATGTCTACGTCACTATGTGGGAAGATTTGCATAACGCCGCCCAAATGTTCGCGCAAAGAAAGACGTAACTTTTATTCTCGCTGTAGTATTGTTGCTGCCGCCGCCATGTCGTGAAGACGCTGTGTGTTTCGTTGTGAAAGCGAACTACTTTGTTTGGTCTTCCAAAAGAGGACGATATCTGCTTCGTCATGCCTAGAGCTGATCCGTGCTGGTCGCTGAGGAAATTCTCCGATCACAAATGCAGACATGGTTTTATGTTTACGCGGCGAAATGCAACGCAACACATAAAAAGACAGTATAAATCATTATAATCAGTAATTACGTCCCCACTGGATGCAACAAATGCCTCGTTTATAATGGGTTTTCATGTTGTTGTCTCGGCGCTCCGGCCGGACACGGCATCATCACAGTATGGTGAGGGGCGTAACATTTCCGTCACACGCTTGAGGTATTCGGCCAATCACAACGCACTGGATAGCTGGCCAATCACAGCACACCTCGCTTTTTCAGACCGATGAGCTTTGTAAAAATCGACGCGTTTCAAAAAGGCGGGGCATAGAGGAGAAACAATAATGTACAGTATGTGGAAAATAATGTGTTTTTTTAACTTTAAACCGCATAAACACATTTCATTACACCAAATACACAAAATAATGTTCTTTTTAGCAGCATCATATGACCCCTTTAAAGCATTAATCTCAGCATAATTTATGCAATTGTAATTGCAGTGTAAATGCATTCATGCCATCTCTGAGCTGCATTAAACAGTCTGTGTAAATAAAGCCACTGCAGATGCAGCTTCAGTTCCACTTCTGCAGCACAAAGATGGATTTTGATTTGATTTGATTAACAGCCTAATAGTGTCTTATTATTCTAATAAATTAAATGTATTGGACATAAATGATGCATACATTTAATAACGTTAGAAAACTGCTCTTATAAAGGTTATTGACAAAATGTCCGGAAATTGAGGAATTGTTTTTGTCAATATTGCACAACCCAAATGTAGATACACATATGCACACACTATGTGTCACTGTGTCTGATTTCCTACAGTATATGTAGCTTGTCAGAAGGTGTGTGTGTGTGTGTGTGTGTGTGTGTGTGTGTGTGTGTTGATTTGTACACCATATCTGTCCTGTGTGTAACTGAATGATAGCAGATGTAAGTGAAGCCAACTGTGCCAGATTTACACAGCTCACCTCCCTACAGCCTGACAGCATGTGTAAACACTTGCTGCGTGTGTGTGAGCGTGTGTGTGTGTGTGTGTGTGTGTGTGAGCGTGTCTGTGTGTGTGTGTGTGTGTGTGAGTGAGC